GGGGGGAAGGTAAAGAGAATATTAAGGCGGCGTGTGGCGCGCAGCGCACGCGACGTCCGTGGAAGACGCTCGCGCAAGAGAATATACCAGAGAGGGGTTATAATTACCAGGGAGGGTTTACAGTAATATTACTGTAAACTCTCTGGTATTACTGTAAACTCTCTGGAATATACCCACTAGGGCTTGGCAATGATTGGCTTTAGGAAAAAATCCGGATAATATACCGACCTGCATAAATAACGCGAAAAAGTAACACCATGTATAGAAAACAAAACTGAGTATTTTCGTGAGTTTTCGTTTGTCTCTATTCACAATCTGTTCTTGTTATTAGATTGTCTCGATTAAAAAAAACCACAACACGCTCATTGCCCGATTATGCATCATACAATACAACCTGACAAAGCAACCCTCTCAATGGTACGCAGTTAAAACGTGAATTGAATCGTGAATTTTTGCTCACATGTAAGTTGGTCGGGCCTTGAAATTCTCTGCTCTAAAATGTTTGATTGAGTGTGGAATAGTCAAGCTGCCAAGATTATGTGCGGAAAATCGAGAAAGAGAAATTGGACGTCTGCAAGCCGGCGAGAGCCCTCAGCAGGTGGCAACAGTCCTGGGAGTGCATGCCAGCACTATCTACAGCCTACACAAGATTCTAGGCAACCAACTCCACGAGAGATCTCCAAAGAAGCGAAAGACCTCAACTGACAACAGCTGCCCAAGACCGCTTCGTCGTGCGTCAGCATCGCCGAGATCCACGATTGTCTGCCTCCCTGACAGCCCAGAACACCATATGAACGCACGGTAGAGCCGTGAGTGACCGCACCATACGCCGCCGATTTGTGGCCACGGGGCTGCGTTGTCGGCGTCCGGAGCAGAGAGCACCCGTGAACTTCCATCATCGACGAGCTCGTCTCCAGTGGGCTCAGAACCACGTTAAATGGCGTCATCAAGAGTGGCAGCGTGTGATCTTCAGAGACGAGAGTCGCTTCTGCATCAATCCTGATAATAGACCGCTCCGAATTTGGCGCCGTCCCGGACAGTACTCTGACGAGAACATCTTGGAGAGAGACCCACGGGGAGTTCAAAGCGGGATGATATGGGGCACAATCGGTATCAATAAAAGACTGGGCCCCTTAATCTTCCAACATTTAGGACCAGGACGTGGTAACGAAGCGACGGAACAACCCTACATCAACCAAGTTCTGCAGCCCCATGTTGCTTTATTTTTCCAGAGACCTCAAAACCACCCCTTTCAGCAGTAAAACGCCCGCCCTCTTATAGCACGTGCTACCCAGCAGTTCCTGGTGCAGAACAACATACCCACCATGCCTCACCCACCCCGATCACCAGTTGTGAACCCAATAGAACACCTTTGGGACATCCTTCCGAGGCGTCTCAACCAACTCCAGCCCAGACCCCGGACAGCTACACAACTGGATGATATTCTTCAGGAGTGGGTGCAGGTCCCCAACTGCCAAATCAATCGCTTGGTCCACTCTATGCACCGCAATTGCACTGCTGTCATCAACGCTAATGGGGGCCATACCAGATACTGACTGGAACTTAAGCCCCAAGATCAAGGTCATTGATGCCCAATAACAAAATCTGTCCCCAAACAAATCCCCAACTCTCAAACATTGTTTTGTGCAATTTTAAACACCTCAAACCCGTTTCTCTAAATAAAAATATTGCTTCAATTTGCTCTCTTCTAGTGTCATGTGAATTCGCATTACTTTTGCCGGTAAGTATATTTTTGCTCACCTCTTCGGCAAATATGTTCTGAACTGCTTTGGCATATTTCCATGTGTTAGAACCACTTTGACAAAACGGGCTAGAACCCCTTCAACAAATTGGTGCACCCACTTCCGCAAACGTGTCAGGAAAGAGTCTGAATTCGGATAATGTTTCATTGAGAATTTTCCGGCTATCCGGAGAGATTATCGGGATTTTGCCCACCTCTAACAGAGAACCGATCCCAGCCCGGCCCGTCTCACTCGAGTGCCTCAAATTTTGACGGTACATGTCCGTGGTAAGTATAATTTAGCGCATGATTTCTGTTCTCATCTAGTAATATATACATTTGTCACCCATTTATTTCAGAGCGCAAGTTAAAGAAAGTCGACGTATTCCATCTTTTGACAGATGTCATTTCTAATATACCCACCACTTTTGGATATTTCAGTGGGGTAAGTTTTGTTATTCTGCAGCTATAGCACAAGTTAAGAATTGTTTCGACAGTGTCGTAAAACATAATAAACACTAGTTTGATTGTCAATTATTCCTTTTACCTAAGAGCAGGAACAGGAGATGGAATCTTAAATTCAAAGCTCAGTATTAGAAAATACTTTTGTCTGTTACATCGTCAGCTAGCTGTTCAAATGTTCTAAGCACAGAAAGCACAATTTTAAAAATTCTTTTAACACTTGTATCTACTTTGGGTTTTTTTCTTGATTAATTATTCCACATGTAGAATTTGAATTTGAACAAAATATTTCAGGAGCACGCGAAACCAATACCACAGATTAAGAAACCGCAATTTAAAGAAAAGGTCAAGCTTTTGAGCTTAGTATATAATTCCGTGTCACGACGCAGTGGAATCAAATGCTCGTCAACTTTTGGGCATGTGAGTTATTTGTATCATAAAGCCTGTTAATTTGCCTAGCTTTCGATGAAAAAAAAATACTCACCTATCCTGAGCAGAAGTCGAGATATTTGCAATTTAGAGGTGGGAGTCACCTCATTTCAAAGGTAAAATTGACGAGAAAATGGCCGCCAAAATTTGGTGACATCCATTGCTTGAGTCCTTGGAAAAAGAAAATTTACATTTTGGTGTGACTTAAATCGACCATTTTCAGTAAAATCTACACAGAAATGTATTTTTTAAGGATATTATAGGTGTTTACAAAAAACAAAAATTTTATGAAAATTGCCAAAAGGGAGTAAAATACCTGTTTGTTCGATTGTATCGTTTTGACGAGAGGCTAATTTCGCCACGATTCCCGACGTATAACATTTGAACAGCTGGCCGACGATGTGCACTTTTGCCGAACCAGTTTTACGACTGGTTACGGATCGAACCCCCCCCCCCCTTTAAATCATTATACTGAAACCACCTACTTCGCTCTATTTTGTATTGCCTTTTCTTCAATGTGGTCAATAATTCTTAGCGGTATTGAAATTAAAGAAACAAAAACATCCATCCCTTTTCACCACCCCCAGGTCACTGAAAACGCACATTTTAAACTAGTAGATGCACCAATTTCTCTTAGTTCTTCTTTTAGTTGAAGTATTCATGCAACAAAAAACAAAAACAAAAACCCAAATCAAGATCCCCCATGACCCCTCTCCTCTTACATTCAAGCACCCATTTCATACATATCTTCTCAAACAACGCTCATAAAGGAAAAAGACCCCCCCCCCCCC